AACAGATATTGTGATGTTAAAGAATGAAAAGAAGTTGGATGCCCGGCCCCAAGCGAAACAAAGCTGAAGGGGGTAGGAGAGTTTTTAAATGGGGGGAAATTAAAAGGGGTTAAAAAAGGAGTATTTGAGAGAGTTAGAGCAAAGGAAGGGGGAGGGAGAAAAAGTTAAATGATCAGTTTATGGAGGAGGAAAAAAAGAATATAATGTGTAAATTCCAAAAATTATGTGGGTTTTAAAATAAAGGTTGGTGCGAGAAGTGGGTCATAATAAAACGTGTATGCAAACCCGGAGAAAAAGAGGGAAAAGCAGAGGGGAGAGAGATTTTGGGAGGGGTTTAAATGAATGTTTAGGACCCCCGAACCCCAAATGGGGAGGGGTAATTGTGGGGAGGGGACTTTAATGCTAAAATAGGAGAAACTTTTAGAGAGGGTTTTGGTAGGTTTGTTTGGGGTGCCCGGGGTAAATGATAATGGGAGCCCCTTTTATTGAACTTTGTATTTGAAAGGGTTTTGTTTTTAGGTAATAAAATTTTAAGAAAAAGAGGATAAATTTAAATATACACGATAGATGGGAGGGGGAAAAAGACAGTAGTTTTTTTTGGATTTTGTATTGGTAATAAAAGGGCTGTTTAGTAACTTCCCGGATGTAATGTTTTTAAGAGGGAACCCCAGATATATCAGATCACTTTCTAGTTTTTACTACACTGGAGGGAAAAAAGGGAGATGGGTACAAGGAGAAAAGAACATCAGGGAAAAAGAGAGGGGAAGGTTTTTTAAACTAAAAAAGGGGCCGTTAGGGTAAGATATAAAAGTATTGGAGGTAATGGGTAATGAGAGCCAAGGCAATTTGGGGCGAAAAGGAAATAAAAAGGTTTGGTTTTAAAAAAGTAGTGTTAGAGTGTTCACAGGAAAATTTTTGGTTAAAGGAAAGTGGGTGCAGGAGGGGGAGGAGCGATTGGGGGAATTTGATGTAAAGAGAGTAGTAAGGGGGAAAAAGTTAGCATATTTAAAGTTTTTACAAAGTAGAAGTGATGCAAGGAGGGGAAAAGTATATGGAGAAAAAGAGGGGAAGTTTAAAAGGGGTGGGAAGCAATGTAAAAAGAGAGCAAATGAGAGAGGGGGAGTGTTATCAACAAAAATTTTTTTGGGAAAAAAGGAAAAAATTTTGGATGAGATTAACAAGTTAAGAAAACCTAGAAACAAAAGGATTTGGGCGTTTTAAAAAAAAAGGAGAGGAGATTATTAAATGGGAATTTTAAAAAGGGTTTGGGGAAGGGAAGGAATATTTTTGAGGAAAATTTTTTAAATGTTGTGAAGATAGGGAAACTGTGATTTCGTTAAGGGCAAGGAGGAATAAAATCCCTTTTAGGAGTGAAAGGGAAAAGCCCTTTTGAGTGTGGGGGGGAAATTTTGTGAGGCAGTAGGTAAAAGAAAGGGGGTAAGGCAGCCCGGGAAATTATGGGAAAAGTAGAAATGTTAAAAGCAGGTGGGGATTAGTTTTTTGGAAAATGGGGGTTTGGGGCAATTATTTAAAATAAATGATGGAAAAGGTAAAAGGGACCTAGGGATTGGCAGAGAGCATGCATATTTTTGTATTTTAAAAGGGAAAAAGGGGGTAAAAGAGGGGTGCCCCAAAAAATTTTAGGGGGGATAAGTCTGTTGAGTTACCTGGTTAAAATGGGGATTGGGGTTTTTTAAAATTTAAAATTTAAAGAATTAAGAGTAAGACGGAGAATAGGATAGGGAGATGAACAAGGAGGGGTTTGGGAAAAGGGAGGGGGGGTTGGGGGACCCGGGTTTTTCCCGTGAAAACAAAGTAACAGTATTTAAAATAAGGCTAAAGAGGTCTTTGTGGCATTTAGGATTTTGGAAAAGGCGTTTTGCAGGGTGGGGTAGGGGGGCCCCAAATTTGGGAATGTTTCAAATGTTTTGGTGTAGGAGGTAGGTTTTTGAAAAAACCCGTGAAGGTTTTTTTCGGGATAGTGAGGCTCAAATTTGAGTATTAAAAGGAAAAGAGGAAAATTTTTTCCCAGTAAAAGTAGGCCTTTGACAAGGATGTGTGATGTCAAGTGGTTGTTTTTAAAATTTTTTATAGAGGGGGTTTTAAGAGAAGTAAAGGGGAGGGTCTTTGGGAAGAGGGTGGAGTTAAAAGATTTTAAAAAAAACACACACAAAGTGGGAGTTGTCCACTGCTTTTTTGTGGGTGACACTGTGCTATTGGGGATTCTGAAAAAAGTTGCAGGAAATTGGGGGAGGGAAATTTTGGGAGGGTGGCAAAAGAAGAAAATTTTAAAAATAAAACAGGGGAAAAAGTAAGGTTATGAGGATAAAAAAAAAGTTAGGGGGATGAAAGATTTGAATATCAAATTGGAGGGGGGAGATTTCGGGGGAGGTGAACGTTTTCAGATATTTGGGAGTGGACGTTTTCAGCGGATGGGTCTATGGAAAAAATGAGGTGAATCATAGAATTGATGAGGGAAAAAAAGTGGGGTGGTGCCTTAGGAGTTGTTTGGGGACAAAGAACTTTGTCCCTTTGGGGGCAAAGAGGGGAATTTAAGAGAGTTTATTTTACCCAAAGCCCCTTATATGGGGGTGAAACGTGGGTGTGAATGTTGCAGCGGGAGAAAGGGGGAGGCCCGTGGAGTGTCATGTCTGAGGGCCCAAAGGGTGGTGTGAATATAATGCGAGAATTGTAGTTTGGAAAATTTTGGAGGAGGTTTCGGGGGGTTACCAAAAAGTTTCCCCGAGGGGCTGAGGGAAAGGGGTTTTTAGGTGGTTTTGGGCTTTTAAGAGAATGGAGCGAAAAAAAGAATTTACTTTTAAGGTGATCAGTCTGTAGTGGAAGGAAGGGGGGGTAGGGGTCGGCCCAGGAAGGGGTTTGGGGGGAGGGGGGTTTAAAGGGGGTTTTATTTTGCGAGGGGGTTGGACCCTTTCCCGCGGCATGGGGTGGGGCGTGTTTGATGGGGTGAATGGAGACAAAAGGTTTTTTAAAATTGACGGGGCTGTTGGAGTGTGAGCAAAGTAACATTTATGAAGGGATTCGGGAAACCGGCAGGGGGGGACTTGAGTCCTGGAGATGGGAAAATAAAAGTGCCCCCACTTGAAGGAGGGGGGTTAATGTTTCGGTTTAAAAAATGTGTGTAAAAACCCCCCTTTGGCCCAAAACAGTGTTTGGAAAAGAATTATGGTGAAAGTTTTTCTTTTTGGGCCACCCCGCCTTTTTGGGGGAAACGGGCCCGGGTGTAATTTAAAAAAAAAAAAAATAAAAAATGTTAGGAAATTGGGTTTAAAAGATTTAAGAAATGCCTGTTTGGGGTTATTAAAAAAGATGAGGGAAAAAAAAAGGGAGGCAGTAGAAAAAAAAGGGGAATTTTGATAACCAAAACAAGATCAAAAAAAAATATTTGGAAAAAAGACCCTGTTATATTTTGATGCCTTTATCGATGGGGAATAAGAAGCCAAAGGAATATTTTAAATTTTTCCCCTTATGGTAGAATGTCTGAAGTATCATAGAATGTATATGTACTACCAAAAAATTTGGGAATTTTATAAAAATTAGATGACGAATTTAACATAAAGGGGTCAAGCATAGTTTTGTGGTTTTTATGTACAATAGGGAAACTTTTAGTACACAGCAGTGAGTACCCCAAATTAGGAACTAAAAGCAGTAAAGAGTTGTTAAAATTGGAGCCAAGGAAGCCCAATTTTGTGCAAGGAAAAAGGCCCGCAATAAGGGGTATATGCAAGGAATTATTAATGGAGTAGAATGAACAAAAATGGCAAGTGTGTGAAATTGCAGGTGCAGAGTGAGAGGAAGCAAGCAACTACGTGGTGGTACTTAGAAAGATCAAACTTGAAAAGGATGACAATAAAATCTCTTAACATAATCTGAAGATAGAAGGCATGCTCTGAACAGTATGAAAGCACTTTTGTCATCTCAAATCCAAATCCAAGTACATATTCTTAACTTCTTCTTTCAACAAACTGGCCATATCCCACCAAAGCAGGGTGGCCCAAAAAGAAAAAGAAAAGTTTCTCTTTTTAACTTCAGTAATGTATACAGGAGAAGGGGATACTAGCCCCTTGCTCCCGGCATTTTAGTTGCCTCTTACGACACGTATGGCTTACGGAGGAAGAATTCTGTTCCACCTCCCCATAGAGAAGTATTCTTAACTAATGATAAATTATGAACTCAAAAAATAATATATAACAGGTTTCAGCAAGTGTACGTGAGCGTATTAGATAGGAGTGAATAGAGACGAATGGTATTTGGGACCTGACGAGCTGTTGGAGTGTGAGCAGGGTAATATTTGGTGAAGGGATTCAGGGAAACCAGTTATTTTTATATAGCCGGACTTGAGTCCTGGAAATGGGAAGTACAATGCCTGCACTCTAAAGGAGGGGTTTGGGATATTGGCAGTTTGGGGGGATATGTTGTGTATCTTTATACGTACAGTATATGTTTCTAAACTGTTGTATTCTGAGCACCTCTGCAAAAACACTGATTATGTATGAATGAGGTGAAAGTGTTGAATGATGATGAAAGTATTTTCTTTTTGGGGATTTTCTCTCTTTTTAGGTCATCTTGCCTCGGTGGGAGATGGCCAACTTGTTAAAAAAAAAAAAAAAAAAAAAAAAGGTTGATGACCAACATGCTTACATTCACCATAGAAGGCTCACTGCATGATACTGGAAAAAAATCAACTCTATTAATGTCAAGATAAATAATACACACAAAGAAAAGGCAAAGAAAAATTAATACATTTTCACCTAGCTAAAATCTTAAATTCACCACATGCATCCAGTACATATCAAAGGTAGCTTACAAATAGTTTTCATTCTTTATTTATCATTTTAATCTTGTTAACAAATTATCACTTCCTTTTTATATTTTTCTCTTATAATTGTTGTATTTTAGGAAGAAAAACTACTGTAACTAAACAGGAACCTTAAAAAATAAAAGGCTGGCAGGGCTGTCCTCATGAACGTGGGTATTGCAGGTGTGGCAGTACTTTATAGCACGGGACGAGAATGAGCAAAAGGTCTACCTGGAAGCCATTCGTCCAAAGGACCAAAAAAGACATGGCAAGACTGTTAGTGGGTTCTCCTTTACTCAGGTGCCGATTAATGCTGAAAGTTCGTCTGAGGACCATTCAGAAGCTGGTTAGTTAATCCAAATATTGCAAGAAATGTTTTGATACTGAATTTTTTAGCTATTTATGTAATCTCTGTGGTATTTTTCTTTTTATTGTATCTGTGGTGATATGTACGTCTTGTTTCTCGTTCAGATACTTGACTCCATCCTCCCACGTTATTCTTAAGATCTTATTAGTTTTCTTTTCCTAGCCTCACTAGAGTACTACTTTATTTTCATCATATTGTTTCATCTTTCAGTACATGTATATGGTATCACGTTCATATCACAAAACTTCAGCTTTTTACAATCTCTCATTTTCCTTGTTTTGCAGCTATTCTGTATACTTTTTTGAGTAGTGTATTAGGAGCTTAAGAATATATTTGTTTTGGGGAGGTTTGCATTGATTGTTGTACAGTATCTTGAGTAATAATAAATTACTAGGAGAGATCAATTACAGTATCTCAAATGGTCCAAGTTGGACCAAAATGTCATTGTAAATTTCTCTCTCCAATGTGCGGGTTATTTGTGCATTGCTCCAGCCACGGTGTTGTGCCTTTATGTTCTTTGCAGTTTCTTCAAAAAATTTACCAGTATTGTTTATTTTTCAGTATATGCATTATGAAGGTTTTTTCTGTGATTGGAGAATGGGTATATTAAGTAGCCTGTGCTTGCCCATTAAATCCATTTTAATTTTGTTTTCTCAGTATGTTAAGGACTGGTAGCAGGTAGTGTATAATAGTCATTGTTACATGCACTTCCTCTCATGATCTGTAGGTGTGTCACAAGTGAGTGACTGTCGTTGTGTTCATCCTGCTTGTAACGAAGAGCAACGGTTTGGCTTGCTGAAACCACAAATGAAATCTCTGCTCAAGAAAAGGCATTTGCCCCTGGTAAGTTGTCATATGTGGGCACCTCTACAGAGATAGTGATTATGTGTGAATGATGGTGAAAGTGCTGAATGAGGGTGAAAGTGTTTCTTTTTTGGGTCGCCCTGCATTGGCAGGAGACAGCCGGGGTGTTGAAAAAAAAAATTATATTTTTCATTAGTTATTAATGCATTGACTGTAATGGGTAATATAATTCATTTTGTCTAGAAATGACTATGACCACAAAGTCTGGTTTAATTTAGTTAATTTTGGGAGATGTTAAGTGAATGTATAGGAGCCTTTGAACCAAGTGAGAGAGTAATTGTGGTAGGGGACCTGAATGCTAAAGTAGGAGAAACTTTTAGAGAGGGTGTGGTAGGTAAGTTTGGGGTGCCAGGTGTAAATGATAATGGGAGCCCTTTGATTGAACTTTGTATAGAAAGGGGTTTAGTTATAGGTAATACATATTTTAAGAAAAAGAGGATAAATAAGTATACAAGATATGATGTAGGGCAAAATGACAGTAGTTTGTTGGATTATGTATTGGTAGATAAAAGACTGTTGAGTAGACTTCAGGATGTACATGTTTATAGAGGGGCCACAGATATATCAGATCACTTTCTAGTTGTAGCTAGACTGAGAGTAAAAGGTAGATGGGATACAAGGAGAATAGAAGCATCAGGGAAGAGAGAGGTGAAGGTTTATAAACTAAAAGAGGAGGCAGTTAGGTAAGATATAAACAGCTATTGGAGGATAGATGGGCTAATGAGAGCATAGGCAATGGGGTCGAAGAGGTAAGGGGTAGGTTTAAAAATGTAGTGTTAGAGTGTTCAGCAGAAGTTTGTGGTTACAGGAAAGTGGGTGCAGGAGGGAAGAGGAGCGATTGGTGGAATGATGATGTGAAGAGAGTAGTAAGGGAGAAAAAGTTAGCATATGAGAAGTTTTTACAAAGTAGAAGTGATGCAAGGAGGGAAGAGTATATGGAGAAAAAGAGAGAGGTTAAGAGAGTGGTGAAGCAATGTAAAAAGAGAGCAAATGAGAGAGTGGGTGAGATGTTATCAACAAATTTTGTTGAAAATAAGAAAAAGTTTTGGAGTGAGATTAACAAGTTAAGAAAGCCTAGAGAACAAATGGATTTGTCAGTTAAAAATAGGAGAGGAGAGTTATTAAATGGAGAGTTAGAGGTATTGGGAAGATGGAGGGAATATTTTGAGGAATTGTTAAATGTTGATGAAGATAGGGAAGCTGTGATTTCGTGTATAGGGCAAGGAGGAACAACATCTTGTAGGAGTGAGGAAGAGCCAGTTGTTAGTGTGGGGGAAGTTCGTGAGGCAGTAGGTAAAATGAAAGGGGGTAAGGCAGCCGGGATTGATGGGATAAAGATAGAAATGTTAAAAGCAGGTGGGGATATAGTTTTGGAGTGGTTGGTGCAATTATTTAATAAATGTATAGAAGAGGGTAAGGTACCTAGGGATTGGCAGAGAGCATGCATAGTTCCTTTGTATAAAGGCAAAGGGGATAAAAGAGAGTGCAAAAATTATAGGGGGATAAGTCTGTTGAGTATACCTGGCAAAGTGTATGGTAGAGTTATTATTGAAAGAATTAAGAGTAAGACGGAGAATAGGATAGCAGATGAACAAGGAGGCTTTAGGAAAGGTAGGGGGTGTGTGGACCAGGTGTTTACAGTGAAACTTATAAGTGAACAGTATTTAGATAAGGCTAAAGAGGTCTTTGTGGCATTTATGGATTTGGAAAAGGCGTATGACAGGGTGGATAGGGGGGCAATGTGGCAGATGTTGCAGGTGTATGGTGTAGGAGGTAGGTTACTGAAAGCAGTGAAGAGTTTTTACGAGGATAGTGAGGCTCAAGTTAGAGTATGTAGGAAAGAGGGAAATTATTTCACAGTAAAAGTAGGCCTTAGACAAGGGTGTGTGATATCACCGTGGTTGTTTAATATATTTATAGATGGGGTTGTAAGAGAAGTAAATGCGAGGGTCTTGGCAAGAGGCGTGGAGTTAAAAGATAAAGAATCACACATAAAGTGGGAGTTGTCACAGTTGCTCTTTGCTGATGACACTGTGCTCTTGGGAGATTCTGAAGAGAAGTTGCAGAGATTGGTGGATGAATTTGGTAGGGTGTGCAAAAGAAGAAAATTGAAAGTGAATACAGGAAAGAGTAAGGTTATGAGGATAACAAAAAGATTAGGTGATGAAAGATTGGATATCAGATTGGAGGAAGAGAGTATGGAGGAGGTGAATGTATTCAGATATTTGGGAGTGGACGTGTCAGCGGATGGGTCTATGAAAGATGAGGTGAATCATAGAATTGATGAGGGAAAAAGGGTGAGTGGTGCACTTAGGAGTCTCTGGAGACAAAGAACTTTGTCCTTGGAGGCAAAGAGGGGAATGTATGAGAGTATAGTTTTACCAACACTCTTACATGGGTGATGAATGTTGCAGCGAGGAGAAGGCTGGAGGCAGTGGAGATGTCATGTCTGAGAGCAATGTGTGGTGTGAATATAATGCAGAGAATTCGTAGTTTGGAAGTTAGGAGGAGGTGCGGGATTACCAAAACTGTTGCCCAGAGGGCTGAGGAAGGGTTGTTGAGGTGGTTTGGACATGTGGAGAGAATGGAGCGAAACAGAATAGCTTCAAGAGTGTATCAGTCTGTAGTGGAAGGAAGGCGGGGTAGGGGTCGGCCTAGGAAAGGTTGGAGGGAGGGGGTAAAGGAGGTTTTGTGTGCGAGGGGCTTGGACTTCCAGCAGGCATGCGTGAGCGTGTTTGATAGCAGTGAATGGAGACAAATGGTTTTTAATACTTGACGTGCTGTTGGAGTGTGAGCAAAGTAACATTTATGAAGGGGTTCAGGGAAACCGGCAGGCCGGACTTGAGTCCTGGAGATGGGAAGTACAGTGCCTGCACTCTGAAGGAGGGGTGTTAATGTTGCAGTTTAAAAACTGTAGTGTAAAGCACCCTTCTGGCAAGACAGTGATGGAGTGAATGATGGTGAAAGTTTTTCTTTTTCGGGCCACCCTGCCTTGGTGGGAATCGGCCAGTGTGATAAAAAAAAAAATAATTCATTAATATGGAACAGTGAGTGTTATACCTTTTTGTCTTGAAAGTTTGACATGATTGATTATTGTTATTTGTATTACAATCTAGAAGAAATGTAATTCAGGTTGTCACTAATTAAGAGCATACTAATACTGCAGGATTAGAGCAATATGTCGTAAACATTAAGTAAGTTTATTCAGGTATACACAAATACAGTTACATAGATTATCATACATAGCAGCATATGTGTAAAGTAACTAGGATAACCCAAAAAAGTGATTTATTATGTATTACTCTTGCATAATTACTTTGCTGGAAGAAAAGCATTTAGATCAAGAAGAGATGCAGAAGAAGTTGTTTTCAATTATGTATTTGCAACTCGTTGCAAATTGAGAGTTAAAGCAGACTGTTTCATGTAGGTACAGGTTGACATGATGCACTTTTAAACAGTGTATGCATTGGCTTATGGAAAATATGCAGATTATTATAATTATTATAATCATGGGGGAAAGGGGTGGAAGGTATTCAGGCTCAATTCAGGGAACTGGAGCACAGCTCCAATTTCCTAGATCAAGAGCCCCTCACCAGCTTCAAGGAACCTCCCTTGAGGGGGAAAAATATGCAGAAAGAATCCTCCTGCCACTATTGATGGTCATTAATTTTTATAAGTATCAAATTTCCATTTGTTGCCCAATTTACTTTATTGTAGTGAAATCCTGAAGACTTTTAGGTATGATAATTTATATAGAAGGGGTTACTAGCCCCGTTGCTCCCAGCATTTTAGTCACCTTTCACGACACATGGTTCACAGAAGAGGTATTCTTCTCCACTTTCCCACGGAGATGAAAGGAAATAATATAAGAACAAGGACTATTAAGAAAACTAGAAAACTCAGATGGGTTAGTATGAACATACATATACATGCATGTGTAGTATGAACTAAGTGTAGGTAGAAGTAGCAAGATGTACATGTCATCTTGCATGTTTGAGACAGATTATTATTATAATCAAAAAGAAGCGGTAAGCCACAAGGGCTATAGTTTGAGACAGAAAGATGCTAGCAATCCTACCATTGTGTAAAATAATGTTGCTTAGGAACCATATAGGTCCCCAGCTATTCTTTTTCTAACAAAGCATTTTGCTTTTATAATATAAAGGTGTCTGCCATAATATATACTGTGGTAGGATTATTATTATAATCAGAGTGTAGCATTATTAATACGTATTATAATAAAAAAGAAGCACTAAACCACTATGGTTAGTTCAGTGTAATAAGTACTGTGATCACCCATAGGTGAGTTTTGTTAAATAGATATTATTACAGTAAGGTACTTAAATTATTTTTTTTGTGCAGGGCATTCTTTCTTACCTTGAAGAGGAGGTCGTGGCATTATTTACATCTGATCCTTCCACGGTCTACATCACTCAGGAATTGACTAGCTTTGAGCGACTCCTACTGCATGCACTTTGTCAGTATAATTTTCTGAGCTCCAAAAGTAAGTGAAATTATCTTTTTTTTTTTCTTTAAGTATCACTTCCAAGTCTGGGCTTGTATAACAGTGTTCTAGTAAGTTATTTTGAAAAATCATAAGTGCACAGACTATCATAAAAGATAGAAATGACATACCAAAAAATTATGGTGTGAATATTTGTGTACTTTGTATGACTATTTGTAATTAGCTATTTATATCCTGTTTTCAGTATTTAGTGTGGTATAAAAAGTTTCCAGTAGTTTACAGTCTTGGAGTATTTTTTTTTCATTTTAATTAGAGGAACAACACTAAGCCCACGGTGGTCATATAGTGCCTGGGGAATGGGAGGCACTCAGGTTTGATCCAAGGAGAGGGAGGATGTCTGTTTCCTTGGAGCAAGCACCCCCCTCCCCATCAGCATCAGTGCATCTCAAGGGGATCTTGTAGCAGTCTCTAAAATTTTCCCATGGAAAATTTGTCTACATATTCTTTTAAGAGGCATGGTGCTTTCTTATCTGATCATGATTTTCCTCTTTAAATCCAATAGCAACAGCTTTACCTCCTCTCTGGTATTTCAATGTCTTCCATTTCATTAGCTCCACTACAACTAAAGGGTTCTCTTGTGTAAACATACTTTGTACCTCCAAATTTAGTATCTCATATCAGAGATAACCAATTTGAGACAATGCACATTCTGTATTTTGTAGTTTATAGGCCATATCATCGCTGACCAGCAGACACAGTCATGTAAAAAGTTCAACATTGAAGTTTATTACTAGTCATACTTTAAATTTTGATCTTGTCTTAAAAAAATTATGAAATGGTTAGCTTATAATAAAAAGGCAGAGTACTTTTGACAATATATTGAGGTAAAATTATTGTCCTTCAGTGATTAACTTCAACCTCTAGTTAAATTATATAATAATAATTTTCACATTGCAGGTGCTACCATAGCCAGTGTGAGAAGAACAAAGGTGAAAAATGATAGAGGTTGCTTTCATGCTCCAAGTGTGTCACTTACTCAGTACATTGAGACCTGTTACAGAGCTAAGTAACATTTGCCATTTCAAAATTCTACCTTTAGCACTCCTCGCCAACCTTCCTGATGTTGCCTCCAGCATCCTTTTTTCTCTCGCTGGCCTCTGACCTGGCATAATATATCTTTTAGTACATCTTACCCTGCAGTGCCATATGACTCTTGTGGGTTTAGCACTTAGTATTAATTTAAATTCTGTGTTGTGGTTTAAATTGTCTGAATTTCATGTTAGATACATGAGCTTATATTGTTTGACATACTGTATTGTAGTAAGACTTTTTGCCATTTTCATACAGTCTGATCATTTGTAATGCAATTAATGGTGCATTTGTTTATCATATATACAGTTGTAATACCTGCATATCATGGTTTCCCAATGTTTTCAAATAAATGGCTTGAAGGTTAATAGGCAATCCATCTCTTGAGAAACTTGGAAAGTGTACTTACGAGATGACAAATTTATACGTAATGTAAGATTTTTTTGTGTTAAATGCAAACTTGAAGTTGTATTTAATTTTTACAATAGATAGGAAATTGCTGATGAACTAGTCAGTTATGTTTTAATATAAATTACTGATATTTTTTTGTCTGGTTTACTTTAAAAAAATTAAAGTGATACTTTACAGTTTATTAATTTTGTTATGTCTTAAATATTCTTATATTTGTGACTCTTATTTAGTAAGAGAAATGACTCCAAATGAAGTTTTATTAAATTCTTACCTTGTAAATAACTTTAATTAACCTGTTATTGAATGGCGGTGTTAACATCTATGGCCTTGACAGGGTGAAGGCATCTACACCTTGGGTATTATCATCATAAAAAATGAAGCACTAAACACCTTGAGTAAATGTATTATTTCATGGAATAATTTTACAATTCTTTAATAATGTAATATAGTATTTGTTTCTATGTACTGTACTGTGTAATCTCAAGGGAGATTACTGGATGGTGATGGGCTCTTAATCCAAGTAAATGGCCCTGTTCTTCCCTTCCTTGGATCAAATCTGATTATATTTCAGGTGCTGTATAACCACTATAGGTATGGGTGTTTTAAAGTAAGTGCTAAACCCACAAGGGTCATGCAGAAATAGTTGTGTGTGAAGGTTAGGATTTATTATCATGAGGGAGCACTAAACCTGTAGGGATTATACAGTGCCTGTAGGGCAGTGGGGGGGGGGGGGATGAAAGGCATTCAGGCTCGAACTAGGGAACTGGAGCACAGATTCAGTTCCCTAGATCAAGAGCCCCTCACCAGCATCAAGGAACCTCCATTGATTGGGGAGGGGGGTTGAAGGTTAGGAATGAGTAAGGGGTATGGGTGTGAGAGGGTACGGGTTAGCAGGGTGGGGGGTTCAGTCCCAAGGGAAAGTGGAAACCCCAATTTTTGGGGGGGAAAATTGGTTTTGGGTTTAAACAAGTTGGGGGAAAGCACCCAAAGGGGGACTTTTACAAATGTTAGATTATTTTGGGGGCGGTTTTTTTAGATGTTTGGGAAGTGAATCGATATTTGCACTATGGGTGTTAAAAATTTCCTTATCCCAATTTAAAAAATTTTGTGTAAAAAAAACTTTTTTAATTTGGGTTTTAAATGTTAAAAATGTTTTTCCCAGTATTTCATTTTTTGGTAATATGGGGGGTGTGGAAATTCCAATAAAGGTTTTGGGAAAAAAAAGTTCCCTTGGAAAAAGGTTTCTTTTTGGGAGAAGCCAAGTACAGTGGCCCCCCGGTTTTTACGATCAGCTCCCAATGCGCCAATTATTTTAAGTGTTTTTTATTAAGTGCTTTTGTATGGGTATGTTTGGGGGTTGAAAGGGAACAAATTTTAATTCACAATATTTTTTTTTTTTATGGAAAAAAATTCGGTCAGTACTGGCCCCTAAACATACTTTGGAATGAAATATCGTAAACGGGGGGCCCTTTGTATTCCTAAAAAAAATATTCAGATATTAAAATGAAAAAATTTACTGAAATTTAAACTTTTACTAACGAAAAAACTCCCGAAGTATTTAATATTTCATCAAAAAGCCCAAAATAAACGTAACCCCAAAATTCCCTAAATTTTTTCCAAAGTAAGGTTGGCATTTTTACCAATAAGCAAAAGTAATTTTATTTATTTCATGAGGGGACGAAAACCCGTTAAGTTAGTCTTGGAAAAAAGGGGAGGAGAATAAAAATTAGATAAAAAGGAAAAGGGGAGGTTAACTCCAATTTTTGGGAAGGAAGGGGACTTCCTGGCATAAAGGCACCCCCCTTAAAGGGGTACTGCAGTTGTGTGTTTTTAAAATTTTTAAAAAATTTACAATTGGTACAAATTAACCCAAATTTTTTAAAGGGTAAACATCATGACAGCCCCTTTTAGGGAAATATTGATGGGGGACTAGTAAACAAACCCAAACAGATTTGTATATTAAAATTTTTAAACATAAGAAAAAAAACAGATGAATGTGATGAGCTATGATGAAATTTACGGGAAAAAAGGGCTTTATAAAAGCACCCTCTCTTAATTAAAGTAAAAATCAACACAATGGTAACATAAAACCAGCTCTATGTTTTTTTTGTACAGTACTTTTAGACAAAGTACAGGAGCTTTACTATTATTTTGGGCCCCCTTTTTTACAAAAGGACACACTGGGGTATTCAATCAAGGAAAAAATAAAATTTTTTAATCCCTTTTTTTTTGTTGTACATTTTTTTGGGATTTTTTTATTTTTGGTGTGGGTCAAACTGATCACCAGTTAATGCCTTTAAAAGCCCCAAAAAAACCAATTGCCCGGTAATTGATGACTACTTTACTGTATTTCAAAACCCATATTTTAAAATATATTTCATTGATGAGTTTTGGGGAGTTTTTTTTACTCCCCCGACAAATACGAAATTTATAATTAAGTCACAAAAAAATTTATTTCCTTTTTACCCCTACATGTACTATCTAAATTGTAAGTTTAAAATTTTTTTAAAAATTAATTTTTTCATCTATTCTGTAAAGATGCAATTGTACTAAAAAGCATCATAATTAATGAGGAGTGAAAAGGGTAATTGTACCACAGTGGAAATTTGATACCCCTGTATATTTAAAAATAATAAAAGGGAAAAAAATCAAAAGGTTTATTGACATTTGGAAATTAACCAAATAACATGAGCTCGCTGTAGAATGCAATAACCCTTCCCTTTCATAAATTTTTTTTTATATTCATTATAAAAAAGCTTTAAAACCCCTATGGTTTACATAATTTTCATAATTTATAAAAAAAAGAAAATTTTTAATTTTTCATCCAGAGTTTAAAAAAAGCCCAAAAAAGTGGGAGTATTACATACATAAAATCTTATTTTCAAAAATTTTAAAACCCTTTTTGCGACTTAAGGGAACTGTCCTTTTTTACTCAACTCTCAAATTTTATATATGTAATAACACTGCCAAATTTCCCGTTTTGGGGCTTGGATGCTCAAGATCCTTTTGGGGGTTGAAGTAAAAAAAAAAATTTGATTCAGTTTCTTTAGCCCCAGCCAGCTTCTTTTCTTTTGAAATACAATCTACAAAAAATGACAATCTCATTCCCAAAATCTCCTATTTTCCCGCTGAAAAACCCTTTAAAACCCACTTTTCCCTTAAGGGAAAAATTGTATAGAGAAAAAAAGTTCAGCAATTTTGTGCTATCACAGATGTAAAACCAAAAAAAATAATTAATTCTAGCTTAAAATGAAAAAAAAATTAAAAGAGCTGTTTATTTTTTCAGTATCTTAATTTTGGGGTTAGTTAAAAAAATTAGACCCCTCAGGGGAAATGCCTTGTGCTGGCAGTGGTTTTGATCCCCAAAAAAACTGGGCTTACCTCATAGGGAAATTTTTGCACTCAAATTTTCAAAAACCCCACCCAAAGGGTTAGGGAAATTTTGTAAATAATCTAAAATTGCATGCAAAGTCAAAAATTTTTGTTTAGGATGCAAACATGGGGTAAGCAATATGTTTCATAAAGGGTTATAATAATCATTGGAGTAACACTAAAACCCCAAAAGGTTTTTTTTCAGCAATCTGGGGGGGGGGGGGTGGAAGATATTCAAGCTTAATTCAGGGAACCGGGAAAACAGGGTCCAAATTTTTTGATCAAAAGCCCTTCCCCCCAGCATCAAGAAGGCCCCCCTTGAGGGATGTTTCATCAGATTTTTAAAATTAGTGTTTTTATTATAATTTAAAAAGAAGCATAAGCCAAGGGTATACAGCACCTGTGTTAAATTTTAAAGGGAAAGGTTTAAAAATATAAGATACCAGAATTTTTAAAAGTACATACGTATTTTAGGTTTTTCTCATATTATCTTTTGGTAATGAAATTTGATGGGATTATTATTGGAACTTGTGGGCGAGAGGGAGATTGGCACCATCACCTTTGTTTTTTAAAAATTATAAAAAAAAAGCAGCACTAAACCCAAAAGGGGTTTTTTTTGTTTAAAAGGGCATAGAGTGGTTACGAAGTCTTTTTTTGGGCTAACTGTTCCGTGTTGGAGTTTTCAGCTCAGCCAGAAAAATTTACAGCCTGGCCTATTTTTAAGCAGTGTAGAGGGACCCTGGGAGCTATTTAACTGAAAAATTAGATGTGTTGCTATATCAGGATCATTTTTAAAGGTTTAATTTGAGATATTTTGACACTTTAGGGTGCCATCTTGTTTGTTTTTAGTAGTCAAATATCCAAAATTGTGATCCTAGGTGGAAAGCCCAAAAATAACACATCTTTTAGTCCTTTTCTAGCTCAGCGACTGCCCATACTTTTTTTTTTTTCTGCTGCTACCTTAGGGTATACAAGGAATTAAATATTACCTTTCATCTAGACTGCAGATACTCAGATTATTTTATGGGCACCAGTCTTTATCAGCAGAAGGGTCCATAGTGAAGCGAGTTACCTAAGGACGAAGCTAGCCAGCAGTAACCTCTGAGACAACAACTGCTAGAGGCAGTCTCACATTCAAGCAAGTCTCTTCCATAGCTTGTGAACGGGGACGCTGGTCCTGTTGGTCCTTCGTTCTTTTATATTCAGAAAAAGAATGCACGTGGAAATTTGTGAGGGGAAAATTACAGTTTAACTGAGCTGCAGCAGCAGCAATTTCCTATCCAAGAGATCCTCACAAGCTTCCACACCTCCCTTTCCTTGGATCAAACATGATTGCCTCCATTTTCCAATCACTAAGATCCTAGAGATTTAGCACTTCCCCTGAATAAAATAAATATAAAATTAGAATTTTGAAGTTCATCTAGATGTAAAAAAACTCAACTGGATGCAAGCTCCATACACAGTAATCTGTGTAGGTAACTGGGTGCAATGCATTCTGTATATTCACATAAATCACAACAGACTTAAGTTAATAATACCAACATAATCTGTCTCGACAGCATTTTGACTTACACAGAATTCTTGTAATGTACAATCAAAACAATTTTCTCTCTTTGATGCAGTAAGTGTGTTTAGGAAGTCTGGCAGTCAATGGGTTAAAAGTCAATGTTGCAAGAATAGATAACTTACTTTACTGTATAATTCTGTAGTGATGAAGACAGCAGTGACAACTGCAAAATATTTCATTTTCTAATTGTTTACTTTCTCTCAATATACCTGTCTAGGGAGGGTTAGTGATGTTTGCTTAATGAGATCAACTCGAGGACCCACGTAGCACTGAATATCTCGGTTAATAATATCAGGATTATTAAATGCTTAATTTAGCTTAGCTCAATTTTCATTTATGTATA